TGTCTAAATGTGGCAAGAATTAAAGTTTCAGGCTGGTCTCCCCAAAGTCCTGATTTAATTCCCATCAAGAACGGCAACCAAAAGCGTCTAGTTGAGATGAACATGGCCAAGGAACATTTAACCAGGTATTAGCATTGCTGTGTGTATACTTCTAACTCAGCAGATTTGGTCTTGTTTCCAGAAGAATTCTAACTAGAGGGCCCTCAGTGGAGGGATGTAGTCGCCCCTGCAGTTCATGATTACACTGAGCCCCAGTCAACCATTATTCCATCCAATTTACCACAAATAGGTGTTTTCTTTCACTAATCATGGTTGGCTGGTTGTCAGGGTGAAATGAGTACTATCCATGTATACATTACATGGAATTTAAAATATAATGGCAATATCAAATTTTTTTACCTTGAGTTTGATCTTGAAATATCACCCAAGATCAAATGTTATATCCCCAGTGGGAATCCTATATATGGCTTATGATACAAATAATGTGTCCGTCTTGCACCTTCTTCAACTTACAGTGCAGTCAAAATGTATGACCTTGAGTTTGGCCTTGAGATAACATCCAAGGACAAATGTAACATCACCAACAGAAAGCCCCAACATGATGGCTTATCTCCACCAACCCCCTCTTAAAGTTACAAGGATAAAAGTCACAAAGGTACAGCTTTTGTTTATTATTTATATTTTGTTTTCTTTCTAATTATCTGTAGTTATGCAGTGACCATTGTACACCTGATTTAAGTTAAATATATGTTTGGCTCATGGCTTTGTCCATTTTGATTGAAACTAAACTTCTAAGAGTTGTGCAATGTGCCCTGGGCAGCACCCTGGAAACTTCTATGTTAAAAATAACATCTCAAAGGACTAAGACATAATCAGTGGGCGATACTATTTCACAAGTCAAGCAGAGGAAACGGTTTTTGATAGTCATCTGTGTACTTCCTCCTAGTTACAAACGGTGTGAAAGATGCAAGAGCTTTTCAAATGCATGTGACAAGACAATATTCAGACAGAGAAGAGTCAGATTTTAACTGAATCACACTCTGATGTAGATTTTGTTTCTCATAAACTGAAATGGAGGAAACATAGATTTACTATTATGAAGAATTGAACTTTTGGGGATAATGCAAGCCAAATACAGGGAATGAATCAAATATGAAATTAGTAAATAGAAGAATCAGTGTCTAAAAACACTGTGGGGTTGGACTGAACTCTCAGGGTAATAGTTAGTACTGAGTTCTAACAAATAAAGGATGTTTGTCACACTGTGTGTATGCAGATTAACAAATACACTGTGACAGCTGTTGACTGATGAATACATACAGTCAAGAAATATAACTATTGAAATGAATTTGGGATAAAAAAATAAAAAAGTAAAAAATCCATTGTTGAAGCATCCTGGCTCAGCATCCAAAGCTTTTCAAGCCCAGTACCAAATTTTCAGTTATATTGAGGTCTGGGTCCTGACTTGACCACTCCAGAATATTCACCTTGATGTCTTTACACCATGTTAAATTTTAAACCATGACATTTTAAACCCCCTTTGTAGCTTTTGCTGTATGCTTCAGGTCACATGATGTTGTTATGTTGAGAAACAAATCTTTCTCCAAGTGGCAGTTCTTTTGCAAACAGCATCGGGTTGTGCTCCAGGATTTCTAAATACTTTGCTGCATTCATTTTACCTTGTACCTTTACAAGTCTCCCATGGCTGGCTGTTGAGAAGCTTTCCCGCATTATGATGCTGCCACCCCCATGCTTCATACTGGAGATTGTTGATAATAGCATTCACTTAGTTTCTCAGTCCTGATTTACTAACATAATCATCAGTGGGGGACTGTTTTTATTGAGGGTTTAGTTTTTTAGTTGTGTCTGCTTGTTTCCTTTTGTTCTGTAAAGCAGTTTGTGTTACATTCCGTTTAACGAAGAATTTCTATATAAATAAAGTCTGTTGCTAAGTAGAACAGTCCTTGCAAGCCGTTAGCACGATCATCCTTACTTTCATTGTTATTAGGTGTGGAACAATAAAGTAGTTATGGCATCTGCACTTGCATGTTTTCTAAATCACACTGTTTAAGATGCTTCCTTGTGATGGTTGTTAGTTGGGGGAAATGTCACTCATCATCTAATCATTCTCAAAGTACGCTGCTTCCTGTTTCTCTGTTATCTTACCGGCAAATTTGCAAACCGCAAACTTTGATGGCATCTTTCTCATGTCTGCAAATTTCTTTCTTGAAGGTGTGTGCACAGTTTCAAACAGCCTAAACTTCATCCAGACTTTCATTAGCTCTGTAAGGTGTGATGAATGTATTTACAGATGTGACTGTGACTCTGTCTGATCAGCTTTGTAAATGCATTTTTCATTATCTGTCCATTATATACACTACCGGTCGAAAGTTTTAGAACACCAAACTTTTTCCAGTTTTTTACTGAAAATTATTCAGTTTATTGTGTCATTGCACTCTGAAATGAAATCATAGAACAAATAAGCAATTTGAGTTGAAAAATAAATCATGGAATCAATTTATAGACCAAAATTTATTCAAAACTTTTGACTCATCAAAGTAGCCACCTTTGGCAGATATAGCAGCTGAAAACACTCGTGGCATTCTTTCTATAATAGAAATCAAATATTCTTCAGAAAGTTCTTCCCAAGTCTGTTGTAGAAGTTCCCATAACTGTGTGGCACTTGTAGGCTGCTTGGTTTTCATTCTTCTGTCTAGTTCATCCCAAACCAGCTCGATGGGGTTTAAGTCTGGACACTGTGCTGGCCACTCCATGTTTTCAAGCTTACCATCTTGTTCTTTTTCCTGAGGTAGTTTTGGCATAGCTTGGACTTGTATTTTGAGTCATTATCTTGCTGTAGGATGAACCTCTGACCAACGAGGTGCATACCAGAGGGTATTGCATGGTGCTGCAGAATGCTGTGGTAGCCGTTTTGGTTCAGGGTACCTCTCACTCTGTACAAGTCACGGACCCTGGATCCAGCAAAACAGCCCCTGGATCCAGCAAAACAGCCCCAGACCATCACACTCCCTCCTCCATGTTTGACAGTTGATGTCACACACCGTGGAACCATCCTCTTGCCTACTCGACGACATACAAAGATCCTGCGTGACAAACTGAAGATTTGAAATTTTGATTCATCAGTCCATAATACCTTCTTCAGTAGTCCAATGGTGGCGTTTCGTGGCCGAGGAGGGCCTCTTTGTCTCATTCTGACGTTTTAGCAATGGCTTTCTTGCTGCAACTCGTCCTGTCAAACCTGCAGCTCGAAGTCTTCTCTTCACAGTTGAAACTGAGACTTGCTTACTACGACCACTATTAAGCTGTTGTCCTGTGAGCCGTCTATCATGCAAGCTGTTAACTCTCAGAATCTTGTTCTCTGGTTCAGTTGTGGCTTTGGGTCTGCCAGACCGCTTCCTGTCAGAGTTTGCCCCAGTTTCTGAGTGCCTTTTGATTGTCACTGTACTCACTGGCACCTTGACTTTCTTTGCAGTTTCCCTGTAGGAAAGACCTCCATCTTTAAGTGTTATGATGGTCTGTCTCTCTTCCATTGTTAATTGACTTTTTCTCGCCATTTTTGTAGCAACACATTACTTTCTGCAGTACAATACTGTTCAGCTGATGCTCATGAGGGTCTGGTACTACAGTGTGTTCCAACACTGCTTTTATGGAGACAGAGGGGGTTATATGTAATCAAGAAAAGTTGGAACACCTGTAGGAATTAGTAGCACCAGCTTTCAAGGCTGTTTCAACCTTCATTGCTGCAGAACAGCTTTAATTGTTAATCCACTTTGTGTTTCCTGAAAAAGGCCTTTTTGTATTATTCTGGAATGTACATTATTTTTCATTTTTGTGTAACCAAACCTTTTTTGTAAACCTCTGGCTGTTCAGTACTTACCTTTGTACCATTTCAAGCTATTCATAGGACTTGCACAACCTGAATTGCAATAAATAACTGGAAAAATTAGGGTTTTCTAAAACTTTTGACCGGTAGTGTATATATATATAAATATTTTTCATTGGATGTACTCATTTTTGACACCACTGTACAGTATGGGAATTACTATCTCATGTATTATTATTACTTTTATTATTGTGAAAAGCAGCTTTGTTCTAGAGCTCCAAAGTGCATGTCGTAGGCTGCCGTCATGTTGCCATGAAATCTTTTTATCATTACCTTAAGATAGGTTGTTGTGCTGCGATCTGACAGAATCAGCACACACACACACACACACACACACACACACACAAACCCTTTTAGACAGTAGCTAAACACCTTTCTCATAAACTGTGGCTAGTTTCATCATTTGGGAATAATCTAATTATTATTATTTATTATTTTCTGGTTCAGCCCAATGATAGAAAGGTGACCAAAGTATTCTTTTTCTATAGTGAGAATTTTAAAAAAAATAATAAAAATGAAGCTTTTATTTTTATGTAAAGCCTGAACCATAAAATAATTGCTAGAAATTTCAATTTAAAAAAAAATGGAGTGTTTATTGAACCCTCAGACAAATTAAAGATAAAACAAAAAATTGAAGAGCAATTTTTATATGAATTTTAATTTGTACAATTTCTGCTAAATCTGGTATTTTTGGTGCATGAATCACGATCTGTGGTGGATTATGTGTCTGGTTGTATACATCAGGTTTTTCAGGCAAACAAATATTATCAAGCTGATGATGTAGAGGTCTCAACAACTCATGTGTTAAATATTATACACTTGCATGGTTAAGAGAAGATTAGAATGAAGTTTCCTTTGGGGCTGTGTGACCTCCACAAGAGCCACAGCAAAATACCAATGGAGGTCTTTGAGGCTGTGTGGATATCCACTAAATCCAAATCACATTTATATTTTTTAAAATCTAACTTTTGTCTTTTGGCCCAGGAGGTGATCGATATCTCCTCCTTATGATGGCGGTTCAAAGCCACGTGATTTGCATATGCAAACTACACAAACACTTCCTTCTGCCTCGAGTACAAGGAAGTATTTAAAGTGTGAAGCTGCCATCGCTCTTCAGTAGCTCAGCTGGACTCTGATCTCACCATGTTCATCAACTGTAAGATGGCAGTGCTGATGCTTGTGCTGACTCTTGATGGCCAAGGTAAGTTTCTTTTAATGGTGCTTAAGGGTGTTGTAGAGAATCAGTGCTGCGATGTTTAGCCCTTGATGGCATACAACATTTTTGTCTCAGTTCATTCAGGAGGAATCATTGGAGGCCACGAGGCTAAGGCACACAGTCGGCCATACATGGCGGTTCTGGAGAGGCACATGCCAGACAACAGCACTGAATTCTGTGATGGATTCCTCCTCAATGAGGATTTTGTGATGACTGCCGCCCACTGTCAAGCTAAGTCAGTTTAACACACTTTGTGTTTGACATGGATGATGCCACAAATTCTGGAGACCCTGATAATTTTTCTGATGTTTTGATTTTGTTAATACAATGCCGTCTTTTCCCTCCTGGATACGTTTTTCCACATGTTTCTGTCATTTCAGGTCCTTTAATGTCTTGCTAGGTGTTCACAACTTTCATAACAAAAAGGGAGTACAGAATTTGTCTGTGACGGAAGCATTTCCACACAAAGATTACAATGCAACTGACAAAAGCAATGTACAAAATGACATAATGCTTCTGAAGGTAAAAGAATCAACTCTATATTAAATAGTTTTATTTCACTGCAGAAATTTGATATTCAAAACTTTTTTTTTTTGTCTGTCCCTACTTGTCAAGTTGAGCTCCAAGGCAGAATTGAACGACCATGTGAAAGGTATTGATCTCGCGGACAAAGAAAATGACCATCTGCCAAATTCCTGCATAGTCTCTGGCTGGGGGAAAACAGGAAATAGTCATTACAATTCCCTCATTCTCATGGAGGTCAATGTAACCCTGACTAAAAACAAGCTGTGTGATGGGAGAAAGCTGTACTGCTCTGAGGGAAACGCTGGACCAGCTAAAGTTTGTATATTTTTGTAACTACAATAATGAGTTCAATATTCACTTGAAGCGATTACTGCTTACTGTGAATGTTTTGTTTTTCCAGGGAGACTCTGGTGGTCCATTAGTCTGTGATCAGAAGGCATACGGGTTGGTGTCCCACAACCGGGTTGAAAACCACACGAAAGTCTACATGTATACTAAGATACCCGACTACAAAGACTGGATCAATATCACGCAACATAACGGAAAGTTCTCATACATGTAACACGTGATTGATCAAATATTTGAAGGTATCGTTTGTGTAATGTTGCTAAAGAAGAGGTCTGAGAACTTAGATGTTAATAATACGACTGAAGTCTGAGTTAAAAAGATAAAATCATATGATTTTGATGTGGTTACGTTCAAAACTTCTGTGTGGTAGCTGCTGATAACAGATTTTGTGTAGCATGTGCTTCAAAACAGCCTTGAATATGTTAAAGGAACTGCTGCTTTCTTCATCTTATTTTTTTGCTCAAATATGAACATGTGTACCATTATGTTTGTTTTGTACTGCGTTTTTTTGAACAATAAACTGTTGTTGTAACACGATTGATTTATCTTATTTGTCTTATTGATCTTATTCTGTCAAATCCGACATGAACAGGCAACTCACTCACAGTAAATTAGAAAAAAAGCAACAGTACACTACATTTATTAGATGATGTGTTCGTAAAAGGTTTTTTAACTTCAAACATGCAAACTAAAGCATGCTCAAACTGTGGCACTACAATGGATGAAATAATACATTATGTTTTACTGTCAGAATATCTGAGGTTAGAAAAACGTGAGGGCAGAATAGATCTGTCGATGATGCAACATGTGTAGTCGTCTGTAGCAGCGGTGGTCAAACTTAGACTCAGAAACTAGAGAGTTAATCGTAGTGAGGCCTGTTCTCAACCGCAATTGGTTCAGATCATATGCATGGGCAGGTGGCTTTTACAGGAATTACACAAGTTTATCAAACAAGGCTAGTGTTTTCTCATGCGGAGGAGAAATAAAGAACAAATCACACAGAGAAAAATGAAGGTTTTCACAGAGAGATTCGTCACCACTTTTTGTAGGCTGGAGGTGTCGACTTGCTCATCGTGGAGTTTTAATGGCACGTTTTGGTCTTTGATAACAAACTCCACCTCTCACTTATTACAGATGTTTTGCATAGTTTTCTTACCTCGTCAATCATGTGTGCCTACAATTATTTCTATTTTTATGTTCGCTACAGCCCTGCTATAGGGTGGTTTTTGTCTTTTTTAATGAAGGTAGAATCATTCAACATGCTGGGTATTAGAAGCCTTTTAGTCAAACACATTCAACCATGTGTTTACTGAGTTGCTTATCTGTGATCATCATGCCTCAGATAATGATGAGTGGCCTGAGTATATTAATGCTCAAAACGGAAAAAAAAAAAAAAAACATTTTGAATTCGGTGACTCTATCAGCTTGACTTTAGCACCACCATCAGGCGGTTTCCATATTTACATCAACCATATTGGTGAAAATATAAATAAATTCAGGCAGTAAATAGATCCATTCTGTTTCTATATTAACACAGTGCTCAAAACCCATTTGGGAAGTCTTGCTGATATAAATAAAAGTCTCACTCCACTAATTTTAGCTCTGAATACTTTAAGAACCTTACGCTGGATCGAGCCCAGAGGCCTATTTTAGAAAACAGATTTAGCTTTACAAACTCTAAAGAAGGCTGCAAGGTGGCACAGTTGGTTACCACTGTTGCCTCGCAGCAAAAAGGTCACCGGTGAGGACACCCGGGATCTTTGCATGTGCAGCGTGGGTTCTCTCCGGGTTCTCCGGCTTCCTCCCACAAGAAAAACATGTTGAAAAACATGTTGAGGTTATTCTAAATTGTCCGTAGGTGTGAATGTGAGTGTTCTTGGTTGTCTGTCTCTAAGTGTAGCCCTGTGATGGACTGGCGACCTGTCCAGGGTGTCCCCTGTCTTCGCCCTGAGTCAGCTGGGATAGACTCCAGCCCCCCCGCAACCCTAGTGAGGACTAACAGTGTGTAGATGAAACTTTAAAGTCAATCATGAACTCTAACAACTATGAATTACAATGCTAATAAAGAGCAGAGCCTCTATTTAACACGTGACAGTTCCTATTCATCTTTAAAAACACAGCAATAGCTTTGAAAAGAGGTTAAAAGAGTCAATAGGTCAACACTAATAAATTTTTTTCAGTATATAGTTCACCTATTCATCGTTTAGCAGACTTGAATTTTCTTAACGGATGCAATAAATATTTAAACATATTAATTTTTATGTTACTTCCTAGTGAAGATGAGTTTGTTATGGTCCAACTAACATACTCATGGTTTTCTCAAAACTCCTGGTTATGGGCCTACTGTCAATTAATGTTGTTGTAAGTTATGTTTGAGAACAATTCCAAGCATGCTTCGGATCCTGTTCAGAGTTGATGTTATACAACTAGATTAACATGAAACTGCAAAATCCAAACTCTTTTTTTTTTCCCATTCTGTAATGAATAGATGGACACATTTAAGGAGGCACTCTGGGAGCTTTTAGAGTTTTCAGAAGCAGCCAGAGGAAGGCTTGAGGACTTTCCATGTATCGGTGTAGCTGTGCGTTAATGGTGGAGACACTACATAATGTACTCGAGTTACATCACTCTGAGGTTCTCTGCTGCTGCACTGCTGGCTCTGTTGTGGATCTCCATCGCATCTCTGAATCCAGAAATGTCGGACAAACAACGAACTTTGCCTGGATTTAGTTTGAAACATTACATATGGTTGCTCCCTGTGTGCTCTCAAAATGCTACGTCCTCACCATCAGCACCGTGTACATTTAGATGACTGTCTGTCCATCATATATATTGTGATACACAGTGTTCTCACTTCTCAGGGGTATCTGCCTCATATTTTATATTCTCTATTTTACTTCTTATCCAAGTTTTATCTGCTATTTTGTCTTATATACAGTAACTGAGCTGCTTTCACCATAATACCAATAAACTGCCAACGTACTGTACAGATGACAAATAAAGATCTTGAATTTCGAGAACTGTATTGGCGACTAACATTCGATAAAATGAGCTTTCACTGTAAAAAGTGTATCTGAGCTGTAGTTGATGCAAAGTACTGTTTCAAATTTCATCAGTCTAATTCATTTGATGGTGTATTTTTGGAGTTCCATCAACTTGAAACAAAAATTTTTCCACCACTAAACTGGAATTCTTTTCAGCAAAGGAGCAAAAATTAGATTTACTGCTACATTACCACCTTCACGTTTCTTCAAAATTTTCTGCAGCGACTGTTGTTTTCTTCAAGTAGTTTAGCTGAGCAAAGAAAACCAAAGACTGGTAAGGCATTTTACAAAGTGGATTATTAGGTTGAAAAAATTTGAACCTTTATGCACGTTTTTAAAAATTAAGTTGCAGGACCGCTCATTTGAGATGAAAAGAATGACGTAAATACATCTAAGTCAAACCGCTGCCATTGATATTACTTGTTAACTTAGGATAAACTTAATTAAATTGCCTGCTGGGCTGCAAGGTGGCACAGTGGAGTGAGCACCGTTGCCTCGCAGCGAGAAGGTCGCCGGTTCACATCCCGGTGGGGGCACCAGGATCTGTGTGGAGTTTGCATGTTCTCCCCGTGCAGTGTGGGTTCTCTCTGGGTTCTCCGGCTTCCTCCCACACAGTCCAAAAACATGTTGCGGTTAATTGGTGATTCTAAATTGTCCGTAGGTGTGAATGTGAGTGTGCTTGGTTGTCTGTCTCTAAGTGTGGCCCTGTGATAGACTGGTGACCTGTCCAGGGTGTCTCCTGCCTTCACCCTAAGTCAGCTGGGATAGACTCCAGCCTCCCCGTGACCCTGGTGAGGATTAAACAGTGTATAGATGGATGGAAATTACCTCCTGCCAATTGAAGCAATTCAATTCAGTTTTTTTTTTTCAGTGTAAAGCAACCAGTGTTTGTAGTAGCCATGGTAACGCCCAGCACATGCAGTTGGCTGAACTGGTGCATAGAAACTTGCACATTGAGACAGTTTAAAAAAAAAAAAAAAAAAAAGATTACCATAGATATGTGATTGATTCCAAACCTGTAGTAGATAATTACAATTTATCCTACATTCCTAGATTACTATAAATACGTAGTAGATTACCTTTATTAGGAAAAAGGCTACTAATCTATATGTAACATATTCTTTGTAACGGTAACAGATTATTGTAGGTGAATAATAAAATATTTAGAATTTGTAATGAACTACACTAAAAAAGTTATGCATTTATAGATTAAGTAATGGATTTATTTAAATTAGTATAAAACTAGTATACACAGATGACTTGTAATAAATGACCCTTACTGAGTAATTGACTACTTAGAAAATGAAATTAACCAATATATTGAGTAATGGCTTATTACAACCAATATTTAACAGATTGCTTCACATATTTAATATATTGTAGCAATTGTGTAATAATAAAATTTCTATAAATGTGTAATAGAGTACAACAATAAATTGGTTACTTTTAGTGGTTTAAATGGATTAAAGCAGCCTGCTGGTAACCAGCTTTGTGACACGTGTTATGCAGGATTACTCTGGAGGGCCAAGATGGATCTTTGCCACTTGCTAAAGAGAAGCTGCAGTTTGACTTTTATGCATGTCTATTTTTATTCTTTAAAAAAAATATAGAATAATTTTAATGTGTTAAAGGCATAACAGGAATTCTATCTTTCATTAAAATGCCCCCATGTAATGTCAGTGTGGTATTCTATCCTTTAAGGTCAGAGGTGAAAATAAGCCCAGAGCAACCCTCCAGCCAGTCACAGCATCAGTGAGGATCATCTCACCAGCTCTAACCTGACCTGGGTTTTGTCCAGTTATGAGCAAGTATCGTTCTCTTCTGTAATGTGAAGTCTTGTGCAATTGTGTTTCTTGCTTTTGTGAGAGGTTATTTTGTTCTGATGTTTTGTGCCTCAGAGCCACCGGACATAAGTTTTGTGAATTTAAAAATACACATGTCATTTTATTGTGTGTGTCTTTGTGAGTTGTGTGTCGCTGGTACTCATGCAGTTGATTCATCTGATTGGACAAACCATAGTAACCAACACTGTATTTGCCTCATCTCTCTCCCTCTGTGCTACTCCAGCAACTCTCCAGGATTTCCCCCAACCCAAAGGTAGAAACAACCCAACGATGCATCCATCCATTATCTATACACCGCTTAATCCTCACTAGGTTCGCGGGGGGGCCAGAGCCTATCCCAGCTGACTCAGGGTGAAGGCAGCAGACACAATGGACAGGTCTATCACACTTAGAGACAGACAACCAAGCACACTCACATTCACAGCTACGGACAATTTAGAATCACCAATTAACCTCAGCATGTTTTTGGACTGTGGGAGGAAACCGAAGAACCCCCCGCTGCACGGGGAGAACAAACTCCACGCAGAGACATCCCGGGCGTCCTAACTGGGACCTTCATTGCGAGGCGATGGTGCTAACCCCCGAACCACCTTGCAGCCCTCCCAACGATACAGAGTAGCCTAAATTATAACTGCCCACTTAAAGAAGA